GGGCATTAGGAACAGATACTTTATTTTCAGAAGAAAACCAAAAGTTGCACACCAGAGGCTGAATTCCGCAGCACCAGGGATGCTCACACACGGAACGAACACTGGCTGAGCAGCAGGAATCAAGGGATAGTATCTTTAAATGGAAATGGATGCCATTAGCAACTCCCTACAGAAGTTTTTAATGGGAACCCAGATGGGAAGTTAGGATAGTTTCAGATGAGGGGTAGAGGATGTCCCGAAAGGTGGTTTTGAATTTATCACCATACTGGCTACCCAGTGAATGAAGAAAGGCATCAGGAAGAGGATTTTGGCCATTTATTTTCTCAGGATATCCAGGTCTGAGGAAGCTGGATGGGCACCAACACCTGTGACAAAACCCTATCTGGGAATGAACACGAAACCCCTAGCTCTCGCATGCAGCTCGAAACCGAGACCGCACAAGCCCACTCAGGGGAAGAGGGTTTAATGGTTTGATTAATCTCAGGAGACCTACAGGACTTTTAGCCATCAGTAGAGAGAGACTCAAATAAGAAACACAGATGCAAAGATATATCTCAAATAACATGTGATGTTGGGCAAAATTAGTCTACAATTTCCTTTTAACATATCTGTATTACTACAGTAGTTAAAAAAAAAAAAAGGCTAGATCTGCTGAGATGAAAGTACACAGCACAGATCCAGTATGCTACGGGCAGAATATATTCATGATGACAGTAGAGGTAGATAGACAGGCATAGAAATTAATCATAAATGTAAGAGAAGTATTCATGTGAGATATTTTGCTCTATACATCTAATTAATAACTACCCTAGACACCTAATACTTAGTGCAGTGACTAAGACAAAAATTGGGTTAATCGTGCTTAATGAAAACACTTGTGTCAGAAGCACAGCTTTTCCAGGCTCCTTGGAGCTGATGGAGAGAGACAGGTACATTCAAGAGGTAAATCACATCACAGGAAGAAGAAAAACTTTCCTTCTCCCATGGCTTAAATGGGAGTTGTGCATGACTATTTCTAGCTGAAGTCGTGCTAGACAGGATAAATCTGCACCTACTTACACTCCAAGTGATTGAGAGAGTGACTGTCACACCTCTCTCTTACCAAAAAAAAAAAAAAAAAATCATAGAATTTTCTTGCCACTCCATCCATATCTTCCTCCTTCTCAGCTCCCAAGATCCACACACCTTCTCTGCCACACAGCGTTGACTCATTAGATAAATGAATGGAATAGAAGACATGAATACATTATCCAGCTAGTTTCTTCCAAGGTACTAGAACACTGTGAACCCACATGTATTTGAATTGGGTAACATCTTTGTGCAGCTTCTTAACCAAACAGATTGTGCACCTTATACAAATTCTCTGATACAGATCCACTTAATTCTAAACGTGAAGTGAGCAAAGCTAGTAAGCATTTCCATTTTTCCCCCTCTTTTACAGAGGGATAATTTTTTCCATAATCCAGCTGTCACCATTCCTTCTTCTGCCTTAGCTCTAACAACTTTTGAAATGGTTTCTCCATTTAGACTCAAACATAATTAAGTCCCTTTAAGTTTTCTAAAAACTGCAGCTGGGTTGAGGATAGATATTGAAGTCAGCAGTGAAAAACATCAAAAGCATCAAAGATACTTTACATCTCATTGTCTCCCCCTGCTCCTGCCTGGTCTGCTCAAGGAAAACTTGAACAGGGGAAGAAGGGGAAGAACTGGAAAGTTAGGGCCCATAGATGAAGGGGCTGGCAGACACTGCTGGATAACAAAACCATCACATAAGCACATGTCTTCATGCTTTCTTGTTTGTCTATCAAAACGGTGTTTAAAAAATCAAAATAAATCCCGAATATCAATCCCCTAACCTCTTAGTCTAAAAATTATTCTATTTGTAAAGGAAATCAAGTGATTTTGGGGGTGTTGACGTGATGTCTGAGCTCCTGACATGGCTAATGCATGCATTTAATACTAATTCCATGAAACACAATTTTCAATACCCACAGAAAAGGAGTAGCCCCTGGTGCTACACCAAGATAAAGTTCAGAAGCTGAAGGAAGGGCTGACCACTCACTCACACAAGCTCTCTATAGCCAACAGCAACAGAACCAGGCCATTACTTCAGTGAGGACAGGAGTAGCATGGGAGATGTCAGAGCATTACAGAATTTGGTTTCTAGTATTAAAGCAAACCTAAATAATAAAGAAACCATTTAGGTTACTTAAACCACCTCTGTTAAGAAAAAGCATACTTGCTTGCAACACTTGGTATCCTACACAGTCCTACAACAGTGAACTTGATACTTGATGATTTCTGTTTGTTGTAAAACATATTTAGAGAGCTGTTTCAAAGGCATATAGTATATATTCATCTATTTTCTGGATATGGAAAATATACACAATAGTAACTACTGAAAAAGGTTATATTACAAGACTACTAGTACGTACCACTGGCTGTTTGGTTATGTCTACCAGGTCTTTAATGTTGTAATACTGATGTTTCTCAAAGGCTGAAAAAAGCATGTCCAACACTTGTTGTTTATCAGCTCGAGCCCGTTTTCCATCTTCTTTCTTCTTCTTCTCATATTCAATCTATCAGATACAAAACACGTTTTAAAGACATTCATATGTAACACTGTAAAATTCTCAGTGCTGAACATTAAGACATAAAAAACCCTCTTCTATTTAATAAAACACTGTTCAATGACTCAGTGCTTTTCATATGGGGAATTTTCTTTTGAGCATTCACGTGTTCATTTATGAACATAAACTAAGCATTTTGTCCTCAGCACAATAAGCTTTTCAGATATGTATCTCTGCTTTAACCAGAAAAAATCCCCAGAAACAGAGCCTGCATGATGTGCCCAAACCTGGAGAGAGTATTAATATTAGTACAGGAATCCAAAGTGAGACGGTATTTTCACCCTACCTCTGTTGATATCAGCTTCTGAAGTATAATGACAAATATCAAACAACTTACAAATTGCCATAGTCAGGAAAATCCACAGACCAACATGGCTACATCCACAACCATAATAACCAGCTGCCCAAAAGATGTTCAAATGGTCCTTGGACACTGTCTCATCTGCTCCAAAGAGCACTCAAGGCAACCACTCTGTCAATATAAAACCAGTCTTTTCTAAGTGAAGACACACTTTGAGACACAGATGGTATCTCTTCAGGAGAAACCTGAGTAGCACGCACAAAGTTAACGATAGCCCAAAAAAAAAAAACCTTCCAAGCAAGCAGAGGCCCCTTGTTGCCACACATCATCCTATTTCAGAATGCATATTAAAAAGTAGCCAACTATTATAATCTGCACAAGATGACCATATATTTTTGCAGAAACTTTTATTACCTCCAAAAATACTTCCTGCATTTCCTCAGATTCATCACCAGAAGCAAGATTTGCACAGGCCAGCACACTCCAGACAAACCCCCATCACCGCAGAGCACCACCAGCAACATCTGCCAGCCCATCACCCCATCCACCCCCAACACCACCCTTGATAACAGAAAACCATCAAGCTCCTTGGAATCAACAAAGGTGACCCAGAAGGCAAACTAATTCATGTAATCGTTAAGTGCTTTCAGGCAAATTGCGTGGGTGAACCCAAAGCAGCACAATGTACAGGAGAAGAGATGCACGTGATCAGTAAGGGACATGCGCCTGGCTGCCAGTGGGATAATTTTATATGGGAGTCATTCTGCCTCTGATGTCTCAAACTGATCCTCAAAAGGAAGACCTTCAGAGACAAAGCCTAGAGACGAAAATTCACAGTTCTACTGGATACTAAAAATCTTGTTTTTAAGAAGGGAGATTAGTTTTATGGCACAATTTATTTTTTTCCTGTGTTTCCTTGCCAGCTAACTCCCTCCTACTCTCTCAGCGAAAATAGCCTGTCTCGTGGTATCTGTCCCAAAGTGGCTAGAGACCATTTCCACCTTTGCTGTTGCTCACAGGTCTCTGGCCAGCCAACTCGCTCTTTCAAATCCTGAAACAGATGTATGTCATTAAACTGAACACAGAGTAATTGTCCCCAACCTGTAGCCTGAAGTCTGTTGCTTCTGCTTAAAACCTAAGATGGGCTTGGGCAACCAAATACTTGTCTGCTTTTCCAGCTGCATGTTAGTGTTATAAAAGATGCAACCTCTCCACAGAAACCCACACAACTGATTTTTATGCAGGTGTAATTATTTGGTGTAATTATTTAACTCTTTAGCTGCTGAATTTAAAAAAAATAAATCTTCAAAACAGTAACAGCTCTGCAAAGGTAACAAACAGTAGCATCAAGTAAATAGCTTCACGGTACATCATCTTGGTTGCCATGATCTATGGCAGAACTGCTATGCCACAGAAATTAGAGTAGGAACATAAATCTAGGACATTGGCTTTGCTATTAAAAATTGCGTGTCAAAACATTTGCTTCTTCTGAAAGTAGGCAATTCATTAGGAGCCTCTGTTAATGTTGAGAAGGCTTTAATTGTCAGCTTTGGAAGCCCTGCTGCGGATTCAATTTCCGTTTCTCTGCTGGTATTGCCTCACTACGCAGTATAATGCAAGTAGACTACATCTAGTCATAAACGCATGAAATAGAACTGCGATGGCCTTGAAATATATATATGAAAAAGTCTACTCAGCTGACACTCTTCAAAACTACAAACCCAAAACACCAAGCAGCATGGCCAGGGTGTGCTCCGCCTTGCAAATCCACCAACAAAACAGCTGGCCAGTTCTCTAGTGGGTACATTCACGTGGTCATACAGGTGTTGGAGAAGTAGGGAAAATCTCATTCACCTAGAAGTTTACTATGACCTACAGCACTACTTATATCCTGGTGGGTGAGCAAGGGTTTCTGTATGAAGCACTGGAAGAAATGATACAAAGAGTGGGATGTAGGAGACTGGCCCTTTGCTGCGTGAAATGTAGGATGACATAGGAGATGCATCAGAGTGCTTGTCTCTTCTGCTGTCTGCAAGATAAGCAATACACTAAATCGACTGATTGCCAAGAAGTTCTTTGTGTCTTATCTTCATCTGATCTGACACTAGTCAGTTTGCGGCATTAAAAATGCTTTTAATTTACACCTGGCTTAAGTCAGAACTCACTGAAATATATGATGAGCATTTATATTTTTCCTGACAGAGACACCGTTTCCCCAGAGCAATTATCTACTACCACTGTCATGTTCTAACTCAGCGCAACGGTGTAGGGACTTGCTGTAAGGACGTGGGTGCATCCTGAGGACAGTGAAACAGGCAGGGTTTAATACATGAATTTTAAATTTATTTTAGTATGACAGCTGTCCCTTTGGTCTTAAAAATACATGAATATGTCACATCTCAGGCTCCAGCCTAAAGCCAATACTTCATGCTAGTATTGAAAAGCACCTGTTATGATCAGAATCACATTACACTGTACAGTTTGGAAGTTGTATTTCCACTTACAAGAACAATTTTGGTTTCTGTTTTCTAACATTGTTTGCATTTGAAAATGGCTTCTTTGCTTTTTAAGCTGGCAAGAGTCAAAGGGCAAACCCACTGTCCTGTAAGTAATGAGACTGGCAGTGCTTCAAATAAAGGAACGAGTGAGATCATCACAAAGTATGGCAATATCTTCATTTCACATGGAATGAAACCAAGGTAGAGAAATTACCTGGCATGCACAAAGTTGCAGACAGTGCCATGTTACATTGTGTTTTCCGAAGAAAATGAGTGAACAACAGCAACCCAAACATTACTGAAACTAATCTGATCTAGCTGGGTACCACAAATATTTTTTGGTCCTGTCTGAAAACTGCTCCGGATTTTTTCTCTTTGGTATTCCATAGTCAAACACAGGAAATACCATCCTGTAGGATATATTGTATGTTTCCTTCCACATAAGAAGGAAAACAGGAACCACAACTTTATGGGATCCTCTTCAAAAATCAAGACACTGACACTATATTCTCCTGGAAGCAGAGTTTTCTAATTAGCCAATGCAATCAACCGCAGTGGGCTTTCTTGAGCCTGAGTTTTCAGCCTTTTTTGACTTAGGTATCCATGGAATTTTCCAGTTTCTCTGTGCAGCTGCTGATCAGGTCATGGCTGATACTGGTAAACAACACTCTACCGGATTTTCAATAGAGCCCCACTGCCTTTGAGACACCGGCTTATGGGAGACTAGGACTGGGGACTTAATAATGTTTTGAATATATGTATATGTTAACATTTTACAAGAGGAGGAGATGGATTATCCAGCCTTAACTTGTTGCCAGAAAAACCTCTGATACTTCAGTGGTCAAGTCCAGAAGGTGGTAGGAGAGATGAAGGCACCTCTGTTTGCAAAGCTTGACTGAGTTCTGGGTTCCTGGGTACATCTGAGGTCACTTTTCGGTGCAAAGACCCATGTATTGGTTTTTAAGGTTAGCAACTTTTCTCTGACTCAAAAACACTGGTTGAAAGATAGGGTGTGAAAGATAAAGACAGCCAGTTACAGGCTGCATCACTCTGCCACAGCAGCAGCTATTATGCCTGTTCTTACCAACCTTTCTGCAATTTTCTACCTCCTCAAAGAACAAAACTAAAATGAACAAGAAGAAGAAAAACAGAAACAAACTGCAACCTCCTCAGGTGGAAGGGTCAAGCTGAAGTGATGGAAGAAACCCATCTCCAACCTTTTCTGGTTTTTCTTTTGTCCTTGAGGAGCAAGAACAAGAGCGAAGCACCGAGGCTATTCCTGCCGTATGTGTCAGAGCTACGGGAATAATGGGTAAGTAACATGGGCGTAATGGGAAACGCTACTGGGACTCTCAAGACAATCTCCGAGAACAACAACAAAAAATCCATGGTACTGTTTGTACCTCTTCAAATGACATATAGCGAAAATGTGCTTAGCTAGCAACTACAATTCTCTCTCCATGTGGAGAAAAAAACTACTCGCTTTAAAATGGATGCTTCCTACACAAAGGAACAAAGTTACAATAAGGAAATTCTCAACATTATCTTCACTGCTGTTAGGCCTCTGACAGGACTATTTCATGACTGGGTATAAAATCCTAATTATACGAATAACAGTCTCCTGGAAAATAACATGAAATTGTTTTTTTAACCAAAGCACAATCTTTTTTTTTTTTTTGCTAGTAAATTGTAATGCCCAGCATTCTTCTTTCTCTGTTATTTTAGTGCCTCGGTACATTCTCCCCAGTAGGACCTTCTATTTTACATTCTCTGGGTGAGCTAAAGTAAATCAAGGAGGAGTGTTTGTATTCCCTATACAAATGCAATGGGAATATTCTAATATTCTTAATTCATTAATGTATAAAAACAACTCGCACAGAAAACCGAGTATCAAGCCCTCCCTTTGTTGAAAAGTTATTTGCAGCTGGCGTCCCAGTTGCCCACATTTTAATTAGCAACACTCCAGCATTTCCCTCCAACTTCAGCAACAGCTCCCGCTGATGTCTAAAAACACAGAGCACATTGTGAAGTGCTATTAAAAAAAAAAAAAAAAAAAAAAAGCATGGTATCTGTTGCTGTTTTCTTCTTTTTGTCTTGTGAATACACTGCTCGTAGCAAGTTACAATGCAGCCTTTCATTTTTTTCCTTCCTGTTCTTCGTTTTATGCAGTAGGCTTAAAGCACTTATTACAGACTGCATGTACATTGTAACTAATTAGCTTTATTTAAAAATCTAAAATTGTGTGGGTTTTAAATTTAATTTTTTTAATTTAAAAAGCATTAAAATATGATTTGCTTTCAAGGAAGGACCATTTTAGAACAAGCTGTCAAGTGTAGAAGTTGTGAGTTTATCCCTGCAAGACTTCATACAGAAATCAATTTCTCTTTGTTTACTTTCCCAGTATGTTGCTAAGCTTGCTGAAAAGCTGCCAAAATTGCCTTCTTGAAGAGATCATTAATACTGAAGCTGATGTATTACACTGCTTTGGTAGACAGCTAAGACAAAGGTGATAGAGAAGGGAGACTAAATCTAAAGTTGCATCTGAAGATGTTTGAAAGAAATCTTAAAGGTTTTCCCATCCCCCGGAGCACTGGGTACCAACCTCTATAGTACAAGAGAGTGGGAAGAGGGGAGACCACAAAGAAGCCTCTGAAGGGGTAACCAGGACCACTAGGTAACTTTTCTGCTGTGTTGTGAAAACTAATGAAGTCACAGAAGGATTCCAGCTGCAAGGACATTAACATTGCAACCTCTCAAAGAGGTGCATCATCTACAGATACACAGAAAATGAAGGTCCCTTTCCCAGAGAAGAAAAGCTAAGTCATAATCCTGGCATATATCATAATGGAGTTGCAATTTCTTCTAGGAAAAATGTGGGTTTAATATAATTTCTTGAAAAAAAAAAATCACTTTCCCTGTCCTTGTATTCAAACAAGCTATTGCTATTTCCCATCCACATGTAATTTCTTTCCATCCTCTTTCCTGCTATATGTTCATGTAGGGGTACATGGAACAGCCATGCTTAAAGCCTCATTTAATATTCTATCATATCTTCCTCTGGGAAATTTTACTCCTTTCTTTCTTAGTAGATGTTCGTTCTTTCCTCAGAAGCTCCCCTGAAGATGACCAAATGCATCAGTGTGTATGCTAGTCTGTACTTTTTTTTTCTTCTTTCTTGTGAAAAGTCTCCAGCAGGGCTGTCATATGATTACAAGCAATACAGCAAGGTTTAAGAAAGCAACTGCTGCTTGAAAACACCAGAAAAATTTAACCAAGAGGTTTAAAAGGTTCCCAGACATGTTCTCCCAGTTGTACATCCTTTCAGCCATCCAACCTGAACCTTAATAAAAGACGTAATGAAAAGAAAGGTGGTGCAGAAAGTAGTCATGCCTGTGCCTTTAGAGTCAAGGGATGGCAAAGAGTGACGCAAATATAAGTGTGTTCCACTAAATTTTTCCCATTAGAACACTTTTAAGGCAGACATGAAAAGTAAACACACTGCCAATGGATTTCCATTAGCATGGACAGCTCTGTAACCGCTAAAAACATTACCATCGGGACACAAGAGCATCACAACTTTTAAGAAGCCTGGTTACATCCTGCTTATACCCCCTGAATCTCACACCAGACTTAAATTTCTGTAATGATACAATAACAGCAGTTTGCAACTGAAATACAGATTCAAAGATTGTCTCCAGGTTGAAGCCATACTGCTGTGATTACGCTAGTGTCAGGGAAATGGCACAGAATCCCACTAAAAGGAGACACTGTACGTCACTGTAGCCTATTCCAGAATAAAAGAAGGAGAATAACAGTAGCATCATAAACCAATATACTCACATAAAATTGCATTTGCATAGTAGGATATACCTGTGTGACTGTTTTGGTTAAATGTCATTCCCTTAGCTGAAATAGTTATATTGGTATGATCATCTATGTATAGATCAGACTTTGAACAGTAACTACTACAAAACAGCCCCATGAGAGAGAAACGATTATTTTCAGTCCCGTGGAAATAGACTGCCTTTCAGAATAATGCCTAAATATCATCCAGCATATTGTCATTTGTTTTATGTAAATAAAATCTTAATAAAAAGTGTAAAAGTTTAAATGACTAACACAGTGACTCACTTTCAGTATGACTTAACATTTCTCACATTCAACAGTAACAGCATTTATATATGCATACATACAAATTACTCAAAGAGGATCTTTAAGAAAAAGGACATTATAGTTTGTATGTACATCAACTGATCTGGAACAGCAGTGTGGGTGCAATATTGACACAGCTAATGATGCAAATAACACGTACTATGAAGGTATGAAACTGTGAAAAATTATCAGCTGTTATTCTTTGCTACTTGTCAGTTTTCTGCAAAGGACTGGAAACTAATGATTCCTTTCAAGTCATTTACCCACCTCCATATGATATTTTATTTGGCTCAAAGGAGTGCTTCCACACCTCATAGCACAAAGCCAGAACTGCCTTCTAACCCCAAATTCCAAAATTACATTTTAAAAAAAAGACTAGAGGAAGAATTTAATAAAGACACTAGAAAAGGCTTGGGTAAAGGCGGTCTGCCCTCCATCCGGTAACATGAGAGTGTTAGAACTGGCAGACCTCAGGCCCCAAGGGTGATGTTGGTCTTGAGACAGAAAGAAGATCCCCAGAAGACAAAATCAGGGAAAAACCAGATAACATGGAACATTTCCAAAGTGGCCAACTGCGAGCGAAAGGGCTGCAGGACAGCGACAGAGTGATTCTGGAGTCCTGAGTCAGATTCCTGGCTTAGGAGAATAAGGGAAAATAGTGAAAGCTACTTACATTATATTGATGATTAGCCACCGGTTTATAGTTCGTGGTTACAGCTTTGTCCAGCTGCTGTGACAGCCTTACAGGTTTAGAAGATTCTTCTATCTGTAATCTGCAAAAGAAAAGGAGAATTAATAAAAAGTTCAGACAAGCACATACTCAAAATGAATTAGAAAAATCTGCAAGTATGAACAGCCATTATCAAAGGTCAGCTGCAAACAAATCATAAGGCAAAACAGATGCACTCTTCTGAATTAAGTTTTTCCTACTCTATTTTTGCTTGAGGACACTGGATTATTAGGATAATATGCTACAGAAGATACTGAAACACTAAAAACCAAGCAACTGTGAAGGGGTGATACTAAAAACCATGTCTGACCACAAATTTTATTCCAAAAGCCTGACAAGCACATGGAAGAAAAGTCCGTGCTCTTACAAAAAAAAAAAAACCAAAAAAAAAAAACCCAAAAGAAAACCAACCCAAATGAACCCAGAATCTCCTAGCTTAGTCAGCTGAGGGCTGAAAAAGCTTTTGATCCACCTCTGCTGACTCCCAGAGCACAGTGAAGATCGGACTCCATGACCTTCTCTTAGATAGTTTAATGTAAAAATATAAATTTCCGTGACCTTTCTTTTGGCATTATAGTAGAGTAACAGAGCACAAATAACTGTTTTATGAGCACTTTTAAAAACATGAAGACAGAGAAATCCACCTGGGTTCAAAACAATGTACAATCAGAATCACAGAATGGTTTGGCTTGGAAGGAACCTTAAAGATCATCTAGTTCCAATCCCCCTGCCATGGGAAGGGACACCTTCCACTAGACCAGGTTGCCCAAAGCCCCATCCAACCTGGTGTTGAACACTTCCAGTGATGGGGCATCCACAACTTCTCTGGGCAACATGTGCCAGTGTCTCACCATCCTCACAGTGAAGAATTTCTTCCTTATACCTATTCTAGATCTACCCTCTTTCAGTTTACAGCCATTGCCCCTCATCCTATCACTACATGCCCTTGTAAAAAGTCCCTCTCCAGCTTCTTTGTAGGCCCCCTTGAGGTACTGGAAGGCTGCAATAAGGTCTCCCCGCAGCCTTCTCTTCTCCAGGCTGAACAACCCCAACTTTCTCAGCCTTTCTTCACAGGAGGGGTGTCCCAGCCCTCTGTCCATTTTCATGTCCCTCCTCTGCACCCGCTCCAATAGGTCCATGTCCTTATGCTGAGGACCCCAGAGCTGGACACAGTACTCCAGGTGAGGTCTCACTAGAGGGGAGTAGAGGGGCAGAATCACCTCCCTCGACCTGCTGGCCACACTGCTTTTGATGTAGCCCAGGTTGGCTTTCTGGGTTGCAAGCGCACATTGACGGCTCATCCTGAGCTCCTCATCAATCAACACCCCTAAGTCCTTCTCCTCAGGGCTGCTCTCACTACATTCTCTGCCCAGCCTTTATTTGTGTTTGGGATTGCAATCAAGTCTCAATCACACTATTAATGAAAAGTGACCTTCAGTCCTCTTCAGGAAAGACTCTGAGAAGGTCAGAGGTTGAACATTTTGTCAAGCTCATCCCTATGCAATTTAAAGCTTACGTATGTTGGTGTAGAAGGAGTGCTCCATTTACTTCAGGTTAAGCACTCACAAATTACTACTTGAGACGAAGATGCACACAACCAAGCTTTAGAAAGGTGCAGGACAACGTCCCTTCACAGAAAACAGCTTAATGGCACATACAATTAATACTGAGATAAAACTAAGTTATCATCAGTGACGTTATTTTGTTTCCAAAGGTGTATCTTACAGGTAGAAGAAGAGTCAATTTTCACTAAACACAAATATAAGACCGATAGCCCAACAGTGATGTTTGCTTCTCTCCAAAGAAAAATTAATACGGTGACATTAATGTCAGTAATAACTACATGTTTACTAATGTAAAACACAAAAGCGATAAACAGCACTGTAAAAAACAGTGTTTGAGAACACCAATTTCTTTTCATAAAAGTATAATGTACGCACAAAAAGGTAAATTTAAATTCACCATGCTTCTGATTTAACACCTGAACAACCTAAATAAATTAGATTTGACATAAGCATTAAATTAAGAAATAAATTCTCTAGTTGTAGTAACTGGAAATAAAGCCAATCATCCTTCTTAGCTAGCACTGCTGGACCATAGTTGCTGACAGTTTTGTCTCATACATAGGTATAAACTTGCTTCTTCTTGAATCTTGGTAGACTTGTCATTTGTTCTATAGTTTTAATTACCCTTAAGCTACCATTGCCTCGTAGTCTACATTTCTAAATCAGGAGAAGGTACATCAATGCCTTCTTCTGTCCAAATGCAGCACGTTTCTTCTTAGCTTGAAGGAAAATCAATCGGAAGGTAAACGAGCAGTGAACACTTTTTACTCCTGTTCTGGCAAATAAAGGTAGAAGTTTTTATCACAGGAGTTTATCTTTTGGCCTTCAATCTAATTAAATGATTTTAAAGATTTTATTGATCTGGTTATCAAAGGTCTTCTAAACTCAAGTTTCACAAACAGGCACAGGCTAAAGCTAAATCAGTATCTTTTCTCCAAATCTGTCTTTTCTCCACCTCTTCATTGCTTGATTTTTTCTTTTTGGTCTCAGTAACTTCTTTTATTTTTAAAAAGAAAAGCCTGGTTATATAGTTTGCTGCTTTTTTTTTTTTTTTTTTTTTTTTTTTAAAATCTTTTCTTGCAGTTCTTTGCCATTTTTCCAATTGTTTTGACCTGGGGAGTTTTCCAGTCCTCCCTCTCCCCCACTGTAGCTATTTTTCACCTCACTTCTCCACTCTCACACTTTTCCTTTCCGTAAAGGATGCAGAAATACATTTCCTGCTCTAAACCTGTTTACTGATACTGCTCCTGTTCATGAAACAGAGAAGAACTGGGAATTCTTGTCTCTCCTTTCTCCTTCAGGCCACTGCACCACCCTCTTCTTCACATGGACCAGATTTTGATATTTGTCACGTGACGTAGTTCCAGAGTCCTTCGCGTTACAGCTGCAGTGCAGGTAAGCAATAAACAAGGTTCATAACAATACTGAAGTACATCAGATGGTCTCCCGTTTTCGGGGAGTGCTAGGCTTCAAATGGTGGCATTTCTTCATAATTAAATCTTCCTTGCACCAAGCTTTATATTCACTACTCTTAGCAACGTAAACTTAAACCAGCCTCCATTTCTTCAGGAAAATAGCCAAAGAACATTATCCCTTCAATGACGAAATGCCAGAACACTGAAAATATGGACTGAACACCTCAGACTGTCCTCAGAAGGAAAAGCTTTAGAAAGGTGATGGTGATGTCAACCCTCCTCCAGCTTCTTAATAAATTAGATATTTAAGCGTGTAAACAATTGATAGCTCTTTAGCCTAGAGCCTGTCATGAACTTTGGACACCACTCAGTGTTGAAGGTCTCTTCCTGTTCTGACATTTTAAAATTACAATATAGGAAATTTCATCACCCATTTCAGCGCAGCTTCCATAAATTAACCCTTCTTTGCACCAGAAAGAACACCAGCAATTTATTTTTTAACATTTTTTACTTGCCATGCAGGATATGCATTTCAGTTTTGCCTTTTTTTATTTTAATCTGTTAATTTTCAAACCAGTAGAAAACCAAATGTGTAGGAGAGCTAATGCCCTTCTCAGAAGCCTCCAAAGGTTGATGACAGTGAAGTTATGTTTAACATGTTAAGTTCCCCTGCACGCTATCTTGAAAGCAAAGAAAAACTTCTTGCAAGGTTAGGAAACGTAGGTATGGAAGCCTACCAAGTAAAAGCGGAAAATCTAAGTTGGTTTGTGAAATGACAGAAGATTTCAGAAGGATCTACATGTACAAACTAATAAATGTATCAGCTACAAATGTACACATCTTTGAATGAAATTTCAGAGATATCCCTTCAAGGTTTCAGAGATATCACTTCAAGGTTTCTTGCAAAAGGTTTCCAAATTACGACCCACAGATCTCCGACAGTCTTTAGAAAACTGTCTAAAAGTGCAGTGCTAACTTTTTTTCCCGTTCCTAGTTGATAAATTGCTGTAGTGAGAACTAAAAATATATTACATCCCTGGTATTACTTTTTAATACAAGCAATTACAGCTGTTGCCACATGCCAATATGGAAATCTAAATGGGAAGCACAGTGACTCAGGAGGCAAACCTTTTTATTAATATGCATTTATTCTACACATGCATCTTGCTCTTCTCCCTAATGGCTGCCCTTCTCATTTATTTTTCTGCAGCTTTCAAGATCTCCTGGAGAATGACAGAGCTTCATGTTGCCTTCCTTCCGCCAGACTTCCATGCGGAACATGATCACCCGATCCTATGTGGAACAACAGCTGCTGCACATCTGGAGTTAGCCTCCCCAAAATGCACAAATACTGGCAAAGGGCCTGACAAATGTGGTGTATACCCCAAATTAGTAAATGGTTCATGTGTGGATAAAGCACTGAAATTTGCTTAGTACTTTACAAAGGGTAAAGACAAATAGCCTGTAATCATTTTGTCCAGATGATTTGTTGGTACAGACACTATTTGCAGGGAAAATAGGTTGTGGGGTTGGTTTCTTTTTTTTTTACAAAACCACGCCGTAATTCTCCCGTATTCAGAAAATAGTATGTCTGGGTGAATATATTTGACTTTTAAATTTGTATAGCTGTTGTTTGGAAAAAAGTTGATGAAATATATATTATACATTCTAGTAATTATATACTCAAAAATAACAAAAGCTATGAATTGGGCATTGTATTAGCTTTTTAGGCCAATGTTTTAATGTGTTACAGATACTATTACTTTTCAATGCTCATTTCTTAAACAGAATTTAACAAGCAGTATCAAACCAAAATATTATGAGGCATTTTATACAAGGTTTTCTCAGAGTGGATCTGCTGAATCTTAATTGAAACTGTTGGTAGGAATAATAATAATAAAAAAAAATCAATAGGTATTCTGAGCCACTGGTGACACAGATTTAAAGGAGCAGTGGCTTTTTACCTATTACTCTTTATTATGAATTGCAGGAGTGTGACAGTTAAAAGCCTCAGTTATGGCTCAGAATTACACAGAACTCTCCAAGGAGTTAAATTTTCCACT